CTATTGAATATATTTATCGATGGATCCGGGACTCTTCCACGATACATCTTCTGATAATTGGGCCATTTGTCCAAGACCCGTCTACGGTCTATCTATATTCTATAGCTTCCTTCCAGCCAAAATATGACGATAAGTTGAGGCAAGCTCAACTCATCTCTCTCACAAAGCTGATAGCTAGGTTGAAAGAAACCAACTGATCGTCATTACAAATACATAACATTATTCAAACTCTACCACCATCCGCACAATACTAAGGTAGAAGAAAACAGCAAACACTACTCACGATCATGAAGATACATACACACTAATCCACGCTCGTACAAACGTAATTAGTAAGCCCTTTGAACACATAATAGTACAATAAACTAATGAAGATAAGATCCTGCGCTAGCTAGGGCCTCAATTATTGTAACATATATGCGACCTCCAAACAGCTAGGCGTTTATTACAATACATATTAGTAGTAGTAGTAGAAGTAGTGATTGTGGATGAATTGTTAAGGAAGGTGGGGCTTCTCCAAGTCCTCGAGGCTGGTAGGGCGGAACCAGGCCTTCTCTTCCACCACCACAGCACCACCATGACCATCATCGATCGTAGAAGACTTCCCCGACGAGGCCGCGGCGGCTCCTCCAGAGGCAGCAGCAGGGCCAAACACTCCGGTCTGCGGGTGCGGCTCCCAGTAATAGAACTTGTCCTCCTCCTTCACCAGCTGCTGCTGCTGTGGCTGCCGGAAGATCACCTGATCATCATGATGATGGTGATCCGCCGCCTCTACGTTCTTCTCGTACGCCGAATGCAACCCCCTGAGATAAAGCAAGAAAGTAAACACCGTGTCTCAGTTTGGAATACGGATAAGCAGGCCCATCCCAGGCCCACCACGCGTTCGATGAAGTCAAATATCATAGTGGGCCCAAGTCCACCGTGCCGCACTTGGCTCCATCCATCTAGTCTAGTACGATCTTATCCAATGATCAACTCGTGTCCATCTAAGATTTAACATTCCAATCTCTATCTATCCATTCCTCCGCCCATAATTAAACTGAAATGCTAACCACGTGACTAATTGATCATGAATTTAGGGGTGTCAGTTCGGGTCGGGTTTGGTTACCCAAACCGAAACCCGAAAAAACCCAAAAACCCTAAACTAGAAATCACTAAAACCAAACCCGAATCCGATACGGACTTGCGGGTTCCGGTTACCCGAAACCCGAAAATTCCTTATCGGGTTCGGGTTCGGTTAAAGCAAAACCGAAATCCGAAAATCCGAACGCCTAAAAATACGGGTTGAGGTCTATTCATTGGAGGTTTTTAGCCGGAACCCGAAAAACCGATAAGCAAAACCGAACCCGAAACGAACCCGAACCCGAAAACCCAAAAATATATATAATCGGGTCGGTTTCGGATAAACCCGAAAAAACCAAACTCGAATTGACACCCCTAATCATGATCCCTCCACTTCCATACACACAGAAATGATCTTGTAACTAAACAGCAAACAGCATCATGGTGGTAGGGTGGGCAGGTAGGTGTGGTAGGTGATTGATAAGCACAAGGTGGAAAAACTAAAATAAAATGTGTTTTCTGTGGAAGTCGAGTATGCAGACACATTTGCCTTGTCACCGGCCGTTACCTCCCCCAAGTAGCATATATAATATGCATAATTTGTGCAGTCCTTACTTAATGATGCATATGAAATGAACACCTACAATTAAACAAAGGGTCGCGGGTTGACTCCTAACCTGGGTGGTGGGTTTTGGTATATGCCTGAATCGTTAGTTAATTGGTTACATTAAATTAATATAATACGGTTGATTCATCAAATATAAATAATAACAATCAAATGATAATGATATAAATAATACGGTGAATGAAAACCGCGTGCACTAGGGCTGGAAGTTTGGTACCGGTATTTGGGATATACCGAATACCGTACCGAATTTGTCTATATTTGGTATTACCGAATATACGTATTATTTTGTGGGATTGAGATTGGGATTGAATTTCAATTGTTATTCGGTATTAGGGATTACGGGATTGGGATCGGTATATACCGAAATACCGATCAATACCGAAATATAAGTTAGTGTGTATTTTATCCTCTCAACTAGACTCTCACATTCACTACTACGCGACCATCAACCACCAAAAGTGTCATTTAATTATACATAGATCATTATATCACTATTTCACACTATTATTAGTCGTCTCTCGTCAAATTAAAGATTACCAATTACAAGAACTTAAGATGTTAGCTCTAGGCAACTCAAGACTATTTTCTTAGTCTCTTCGCCCTAAATTAAACAATAAAATTTAATTTATATATTTAATTATTAATTGCAAAGGTAAGTAATTATGTATTCGATAATACCGATTGGGATACCGAAGTACCGATTGGGATACCGAAATTATTTAGGGATTGGGATTGGGATTGATTTTAGGGTGTAATTCGGTATTCGGGATTTCAGTATTTGGTATTGGGATACCGATACCATACCGATTTCCACCCCTACGTGCACCCATAGCATTTGGGAGATGACGATGAGGAAGGACCGAAGGAGTGGGCCATGTGGTGACTAGGCATGGAAAAGAAGACAGACGAACAAGAACGGGATGGATCACAACGCTAGCTAGGTAAGGTAAGCCCCTACGCTGAATTAAAGTTAGGTGGGTATGGGTTTTAGCTAGATTAATTAATTATTTAGGATTTGGTAAAATAGGTAGGAAATAATAGAGTAGAGAAAGAGATCCAGCCAAGTCCCTCACATCCCAACCAGCTTCTGGAGGGATGATCAATGAATGCTCAGATAAATTACATGTTTCATCCACCTAAAACGATAATCGTTAATCCACTTCACCTGATAATACAACATGAGGAGATTGAAAAAACATAAGACGAATTACATCTTGAATGAAATTGATTTGGAGACTGATGATTGTATCACTCTGAGCATCTTGATAGGCAGGCAAATCAGTACATTATTTGACATTTGTGATCGATCTGATATGATGATTGAACTGGTCGACCGGACGGGACGACTGTACCGGTCAGACTTCTAAAAGCAGCACATATATGGTTTCCAACTACCAAACCGTGAAACAAACATGGAAAATGAGGGTAGTATACCTGATGCTGCAGGGAGAAGAAGAAGAGATGGAGGAGATCCGGTGGTTGGGAAAGAGCAGTCGCTTGCCCAAGCTCGCGATCCCTCTGCCACTACTGCTGTTGCTCATCCGATTGGCAGCCATACCGAAAGATTGTACAAGTACAAGTACGGAAAGGTAAGAGAGATCGAGATACAGAGCGAAAGAGAGAATGAGAGAGGGAATAGGGAAAAGTGGGAGTCAGACAGAGAGATGCTTCCTCTTCTTCACTCTTGAGCTGCTTCTTATAGTTATAGTCTTATAGATGCTTTGCTTTGCTTGAATTAGATGAGATGAGAGATGTGGACATTTTGTTTTGGGTTGGAGACTTGGAGTATATAGGGTAGGTAAGGTGCAGACAGTTGGGCTTTGGGATTTTGGACTTCTTTTTTATAATATTTAGGGGTTGTTTGGAAGTTGCGATAGTTTTGTTGAGATTGTCATTATGCATGTATTGTTTACAATGCATCGTTTTTTTGTTTTTTTAACAGAAACAATACATGGATTGTTTCTGTGCTGTGACAGAAACTATCACTCATTTTGAGTGATTGTTATATCTCAACTTTTAGTTGTGATTGTTGAGATAGTTGAGTTGAGATTGTTTTGTCTCAGCTTTTAGCTGATGCGACATACACAATCACACATACCAAACGTTGTATTCTACAATGCATCAAATTCGACAATACATGTATAATATTATACATGCATTCTCAACAATACATCTATTTAACAATCGCAACTTCCAAACGACCCCTTAGTTGCTTACACAGTTACACTGGACTTGCTCCGCCCAAGAGAAGAGAGAGCCATAGTCAAAGTAGAGGTGCCACGCCCCATTCTTCACAGGGCAGAATATGCTTTTGTTCGATCTGTATCCTAAGCCCACCTTGCCAACCCATCTAATATTTCTTTTTTTTCCGTGCGTACTCCCTGCTTGACTTTATTTTGTATGAAAAGTTTATTGTTTATGTAATTATCATGGGTCTTAATAGAGGACCATTATTTTATTATAAGATTGTAATAAAAAAAGGTGGCAATCAACTTCAGGGCGAGGCCAAAACCGACGAGTGAAGTGAACAACAAAGCTGAGAAAGCTGACATAGCCCACTGGAAACCTCAGAGCCCAACTGGCTGCTGAAGTCCAGCTTCTAAGCCCAACAAAGGTTTAGGTGAGACCCAAAAAATTGTGAACCTTTATTTGCGAACCAAAAGCCTCGCGACCCAACCCAACATGACGATACAAATGCAGCGGTCACTTCCTTATATAACGTTTTTCAGTGAATCTAGGAGTTTCTCGGCATTCGCCTGGAATTCTTCACGGTCTCACTTGCTACATCGCAGCCACACCACCCTCAATATGCTGCTCTGGTGGATGAGATTATTAGACTAATTATAGGATAGGACCGTTAGTTCTGGATGCACTGTTTTAGAATTAAGATGTTATCTAATTTTTTTTAATTAGAATAAAATAAAAATGTTTGTAGAATTGTTATTTAAAAATTAATATCCTTCAAACATTGTTTGAAATAATTTTAATTTATAATTCTTTAATTGGTCATCCTCTCTATAGGAGCATTCGCAACCACTGTAATTGGCTAATCGTTTCTTTTATTGTTTTAGAGGACAATTAAATACGATTTTAGAATACAACAGAACTTTAACAACCAATATACATGAGAATATTGAAAAATAACTAGACTAGTATTAGTTAAAAAAAAAACTTTAATCACATCATCGTACCATAATCATGCAATACAAATTCAACTTATAGTTTACGATTTGACTTAACCAACAGACCTATGATGGAGGTCTCCACTATCCGGCGTCTCTATGCTCGAGGACCTCCTAGAATATTGGTCGCCCATGACGATAATCCATGACAAGTTAAGTTAGGATTGAGTATGTCTATATAGAAGCAAATTTTTTTGGCTGATCATATAGCTTCGTTAGGACACTTGTAGCTTGTGGATTTTTTCTAGTTAAAAGTTATGTGTTTTTTTGTTATTCTGGATATTAGCTTTAGAAATATCAAATCGCTAAAATCTACAGATACTAGGGGGTCGTTTGGAAGTTGCGATTGTTAAATAGATGTATTGTTGAGAATGCATGTATAATATTATATATGTATTGTTGAATTTGATGCATTGTAGAATACAACATTTGGTATGTGTGATTGTGTATGTCGCATCAGCTAAAAACTGAGACAAAACAATCTCAACTCAACTATCTCAACAATCACAACTAAAAGTTGAGATATAACAATCACTCAAAATGAGTGATAGTTTCTGTCACATCACAGAAACAATCCATGTATTGTTTCTGCTAAAAAAACAAAAAAATGATGCATTGTAAACAATACATGCATAATGACAATCTCAACAAAACAATCGCAACTTCCAAACGACCCCTAAATCTCTTATAATTAAAGAGATTCTATATCTAGATTCCTGAGATTTTTTCTTCTACTTTTTCACTTTCAAACAATTTCCAATATTTCTCAAAATGCTCTAGTTTTTTTTATTAAGAATAAATATGGCATTTCATATTAAATCTCTATTTTAATTTTCATTGAATGTTAACGATCATAGTTACCAAACAATGAACAATTTAAAATCTTTTTTCAACAATTCAAAGAATGAAAATCTTTGAACTGAATTATAGATTTAGATTTATGTTCTCCAAACAACCTATTTATTTATGCTATGCATTGGGTATATATCATTATGCTTGTGGATATAAATGAACTTATTCGTTGGATTGGTGAGTTTATTTGCATTATTGACGTGGCACTTTTATTGTTTACTTGCCTTTTTGCCTAGTCACGTACTGATCCTCTCACCCAATTCTGGTGGATATTGATTATTGAAGCTTGCCAAAGCCAAACTAAAGAAGGTAATCTAATCGAGGAAGGAAGTTTTGAATGTGTCCCTAATCTTGTGATTAACAACAGCCTGTATGTAACTAGCCAACCCACCTCACCTGTCTCTCTCTCTCTCTCTCTCTCTCTTATACGCGCTTTCCTTCCCGTTCCTGGTCCCGCGCCTACCTCTTTGGACTGGAACTGGACCGGCCTTATTTGATGTTTACTCTGTTTTTTCTCCGCGTCTATCTCGACTCCCACTTTGTACATTTGGTTGCACGGTATACAGAAGAAAGAAACAAGAAGAAAAACAGACAGATTTGATTATTGATGCTAATGAAGTTAACCATGTATATGTCTAATCACTAATCATTTGGGATTAAATTGAAAAATTACAAGTAAATTGCAGCTAGCTATTGAATGGTGGCGGCGGTGCTGGTGGTGTGCTGTGGGAAATCGGGCCGGCACGATGGCTGTCTGTGGCCGGGGCTAGAAATCAAGAAGGCGGAGATGATGGTGGAGACAATGGCGGGAGGAGGGAGGGAAGCATCGACTTTGAGAATGGGTTCAGAAGGGTCGATCTGGAGGAGATCCAGCTGGGACTGCAGCAGCTTCGGAGGCATGAAATGGGTGCCCTGTTTTGCTCTCTCGGTGAGGCGGCGGGTGAGTAAGTCGACGGTGGCGTCCAGCAGCACGAAGTGGCAGCAACAACAGGAGGTGGACGACGGTGGGTGGGGGTCGGCGGAGCGGAGGATGTCTCTGTAGGACTTCTGGAGGGAAGAGCAGCCGAGGACGACGGTGTTACCGGAGATGAGGTGGTGCCGGAGTTTGTCCCTCAGGAGATTGAGCCAGGGGATCCTGTCTTCGTGCGTCAGGGGAATGCCCTGCCTCATTTTCTCTGCAAACGTTACACGATTAAGAAACAGGTATGTTGGTAAGTGGAAATGGGTTTGGGAATTAGGTAGAGGCAGCGAATTGGGGAAAAAATGGTTTGATTTTGTTATACCTTTGTTGGAATGAGGGTGGAAATCGTCGGCGTCAAGAAAGCTGCAGTTCAACTCTGTCGCCAGGAGTTCCCCAATGGTGCTGCACCAACACAATTTTGAACAAAATCTGAATCAAAACCCTTTTCTACAATTTTGAAACATTGAAACATCGTGATTGATTAAGAAGAAAGAAAGCAATCAAGAAAATGGAGGGCAGGAGCAAAGGCGGCACCTTTTCCCAGCGCCGGAGACGCCCATGAGCACGATGGCGGTACCTGCTGCACAACCCACAAAAACCAAGAATTATGAACATTGGAATCCAATTAAAATGGATAGAATGAACCATGCACCAGCTTCGAGTCCGAAATCAAAGGCAGTGTAATCTAGAATAGAATAAAAGAAAAGGAAACACAGAGACGGAGAGAACGAGAGAGTGATTGAATTGGGGATCGGTAGTGAACCTGTGACTCGGGAAGGCATGCTTGACGAAGGATGCGGATCAGAGTTTGGGGAAAATCAAATAATCCCAGATCAAGATGCAGGAGCGATGAAGCAAGTAATGCAGGTGGAATTCGGGTTTGGTGAAGGGGAGAACCAAAACAGGGGGCGGCAACGAACGAGGAAGGAGACGAGGAGAATTGGGGATGGAGATGTTGTATTTGTATACGTGAGGTTCGGTGGGGTTTTGTTGTTTGTTTTTGTTTGGGGTCTGTCTGGGGGAGGGAGAAAGTGATGAATGAATGAATGAATGGGATAAAGATGGATAAGGCCAAGAAGGGTTGGTAGTAGGGTCTAATGAAACTACGAGGATCTGAGTCGACCCTGAAGTCCCTGACGTGGCGGACTTAGCTGACGGAAGTGAATCGTAACCCCTTACCATTTCGGCCGGCCGGTGCGGTGCGATCAGTCAACCCTGGGCCCCGGCCTTATGGTTACAGGCTTACAGTAACCAACCTGGTTAATCTGCTAACTGGTCATTTTGTTAGTAGATACTAACTGATATCCAATGGTGTATGAACTAATATCCAAGTCTTTGCGAACTAAATAATTCGGGTAGTTGATCGGTTTGGGCTCTGATACCATGTTTTTGTACTAGACTTACCGATTTAATAATTTTACTACTAAACTTACTGATTTAATAATCTTTGTTTAATTTTGTTTAAGCTAGTTATTATATCAGTAATTAATTCGGTTTTAGAGATAGTTTCTTCTAATGTTTCTGTGGTTCCAATACTCATTTGTTCTTCTACAATTTCTGAGGCAAAGTAAGTCAATTCTTGTATGACTGTACTGATATAATTTATTGAGGTGAGATTTATAGCATCTAATCCTTCAATTAATTTATTTATATGATAGTTAGTAGGCATATTTAGATTTTATTCTCTAAATTTGCTATTGAATGTTGCAATTTTTCTAGCTTATTTATTACTTGATTATTGGTTATCTCTTCAATTAATTTATTCACTTGATTATTGGTTATCTCTTCTTGTTCTAAATTTTGTTCTATTACTGGGATATGCCTAATTCTCTCTGATTGTGTTTTAATTAATCGTCTTTGATCTTGGGTTATCGATGGTCGACTAGGTTCTATTCTAACAGTCTTTAATGGTGCTTCTAGTTGAATTAAAGGTTTAAATAAATCTTCTATAGTAATTACTTCCTTATTTTTGAAGGTTAAGCTGTGGTGACTATTTGTTAATGCATAGTTTATTTGATAAGTTACTGAAAATGGTTTGCTATTTTCTTTCATAAAATTTTCTCTTTTTAATTCGTACTTTATAATGATGGAAGAGTCGAGATTACCATCTGCAAGGCTTAATCCTTGTTGCAGGTTAATATCAAATTTAATTATTCCTACTCCTAAATTTCCCGTTCCTTTAGCAATAATACTTTCTTCTTCGTTTAGGAGCCTATCATCACGAATTTCTAATTCCATAGGTGCGTCAATTCCTATTTTCATGGTTGATTTTAATATAATTTGAATTGTACTAATATGAATATAAGCTATTTTATTTCGTTCTTCTGATCTTAGTTTAGCTAATCTTTTTCTGATTTGTTCTTTGTTTATTACTTGGATTAGGAAATCACCCTTAGTTTGATCAATAGGGACTGCTACTTCACCTATCATTTTACCATATTTAATAATATTTTCTCTATCGAAAAGTTTTGATAAAAAAGACTTAGTGATAAAGTTCTGAGTTTCTGAAATAGTAAAATTAGTTTTTTCTCTAATTTTCTTAATGTCTATAACACCATCTAAGAAGTAGTTTTCATTATCATTTTTGTTTAAATAGTCGAAATAACTTGAGGTAGGATTATCAGACATACCTGACTTGCTTTTCTGATGAAATTCTGAGCCTTTTGATGATCGCTTGATGATTGTAGCTTCTTTCCGTGCGTTTGATTATATTGAAGATGATTGTGGCCTCCAGGATCAGTGGATCCAAGCCTTACAACTAGCTAGCTAGAGGGAGAGAGTAAACAGGCAATTTTATGGCCAAACTCGTTCTGCCTTATTTCATTGCAAACTCTTGCTCTTATATAGAGCTGAGGGGAGATACAAAGACGTCATTGCTTACGTTTGTGCAACAGGGACGTAAAGCTAATGCGTTAAAAGAAAACGCGTGAAACGATAAGAAAGCTGATAAAATACAATAATGCACGACTTTTTTAAAGGAGTCGGCCAACCTTCTTTTGTCGCTTTATTCCATGTTTGATTCCATTTTCTTCACATGCTTCTGTCAGTCTTGGTCTGCTGGTCCACTGATGTCTTCGTCAGTTGCTGCACACCACTCACAGAGATGGTCTTCATAGATAGTAAGCTCATTGCATAACTGTTTCTTGATTTGAATGGGAAGGGCTGACAGATTCCCATTAATTTCCGTGAATTCCTTAATTTTATCTGTTATGATTGCCCATTCTTCTTTGGTCATGTTTCCTCTTGTTTTGCTGGTGATGATGGCATCGGGGCTGCTATAATTGACTTTAATCTGGCTTTCCGGTTCAATTTTGGTTAAAGCTCTGCATACTGCAAGAAGACCCTTTACTTGGTAGTCTGGGTTCTTCTCATAGTCTCGTAGGTCATCTCTGGTAGGGTAATCATGGTTTGATACTCCCATGAGGATCACTGCCTTTGATCCGATCAATAGTTTGTCTTGATCGAATACGGGGTAGCTGCTTGTATACTTGAGAAATATTTCTCTTTCCTTGGCGAATAGCTCGAGATATCTTCTGATTACGTTCCTCATTCTTTGTGGGAAGTATTCAAATACCTTCATGGTTGTAGTGTAGATAGTGTCGATTAATCCATATTGATGGAACTCAAAAGAGAGTTCTGGTGATGCTTCTTTTGTGATTACTGCTTTGGGTCCTCCTCGACTGACAGGGTAGAAACCCATGGTCGTATGTTTTTCTTCATAGTTGATTATCATATCCCAGTTGGATATGAACTTCTGAAAGATTGGTTTTAATTGCTCTTCTTTTTCCTTGGTGGTTAGGATGCTTTTGATACTGGGTATCTTCATGACGAGTTTCTGCGATTGTTGCTCTTGATTCTTGAGTGGTTCTTTCATTGCCATCACCTTGTATGATTGTCTGTATGCTTCGTCGGCTGCTTCTTTTGTTTTAAATGATTGATGTTGGACTGGTTTGCCGTTGATGTGCTGGCTAGCGATGGCCCAGTTATGATATACTCCTCGGTATGGTCCATTGAATATGACATACCATTTGATGCTTTTTCTGTCGTCTTCTTCGTAGTGGGAATCTTTTGTTTCTTTTTCTTCTTGTTCAACGATGTCTGCCCATCGTGTCGTCTTTTGTATATTATTGCTGGTAGTGGTGGATGATTGTATTGTTGTCGACTTTTCAGCATGTTCTGTGGTCAGTGTTGATGGCTTTCCACTAGTGGAGCTAGTTGCTAATGTACTGACGTCGATGTAGTTGATTTTTAACTGTTGCTGAATGACGTAGATTGATTGAATTATTGCTTCTTCCTCCCCCCTGCAAAGGAGAAGCTGTTGTTCCAGTGCTGCACTCTTTTCCTGCTTCTGCTTTAGTTGATTGATGAGGGTTTTTATGAATCCTTCCATTCTCGAGTCAGTGTGTCTGTGAATGGATTGTTGCTGGACTTGATATACTTCAGATAAGGATTGTAATAATGGAGTTGTTGCTGCCACCTGATTAATCTTCCTTTGTTGAAATCTGCCTGAAGCTTGTACCTCCAAAAACCTGTTACATATTTAGAGTCGGTTTGAAGTTCAAACCTTGTAGATAATAATTCAAGCTTCCATTTTTTCAATGTTCTGAGACAGGCTAGTGTCTCTAATTCGTGGATCGGATAGTTCTGTTCAGTGGCGGTAAACGTTCCAGAAATATATTTACATAATTTCTTAGAATATTTATCACTGTTGAAAGGAACTGATGATTGAGAACTTGAAAGTTCAATAATATTGTCCGAAGACTGATAATCTTTAGGCTCTTGGCCAGAGACAGTAGCCTCGTTATCGTCTATTTTGACATTACCAAAATTGTCCATTTGTAATATTTCCTTACCATTTTGTATTGCTAACATACACCCTGCCCAAGTGTCCTTAGAGGCATCCGTTTGAATTATTAGAAAATCGTTTTCACAAGGGTTATATAATTTTGGTAAATGCTGACATTTTTCCTTCATTAATAAAACTATTTTTGTATCATGACCATTCCATGACCAAGGGATTTTGTCAGAAATCTTTTTCTGTAAATGTTTTCTCTCTTTTGCTAAATCTTTTAAAAATCCTTGTTCGCTTATATAATTTAAGCATCCAAGAAAACGTTGAATTTGTTTTCTATTTTCAAGTTGGTTTGGGAATTTATCGATTTTTTCTTTAGTGTTTGGTGACAATTCAATTTCACCCAAATTATTAATCTTCATACCAAGATATTCAATTTCTCTTTGAAGAAGTTTTGATTTCTTCTTAGAGATAATTAGACCTTTTTCTTTTATTCTCTGTAAAACTATCAAGATTTTTTCACGATGGTCTTCTTCTGATTGATTTGTGAAAATAATAATATCATCAATGTATGCCAAACAGAACGATTGAAAACCTTCTAATATATGATCCATAAACCGTTGGTAAATAGCTGGTGCTTGTTTCATTCCAAATGGGAGAACATTCCATTCGTAATGTTTTTGTGGTGGACATGAAAAGGCTGTTAAAGGTTTGGTATTCTCATGTAGACGAAGTTGCCAATATCCAGATTTAGCGTCTAAACTACTAAACCACGTTTGACCTTTTAATCTTTCTAATATATAGTCTTTCCTAGGTAGTTTATAGCTATCTCCTATTGTTTGTTCGTTTAGTTTTTTATAGTTTATTACCATTCTTCTTTTTCCTCTTTTGATTTCATTATTATTTTCTACATAAAAGGCTGGTGCACTGTGAGGACTTTTACTTTCTCGTATTATTCCTTTTTCAGCTAACTCTGAACATTCCTTTTGGAATTCTTCTACATCTCGTTGAGTATATTGAATTTTGTTAGGGACATTAACTTCCATTTTAGGATCTTTTAGTTTAATTTCGATAAGTTCTTGATTGGTATTTTTATCTTTATCTAAAGGATGTTCACTACACACCTGGTCTAAAGTATCCTCTAGAATGCTATAGGTAATCTGTATATATTCTAGTCTATTTTTGAGGTTTTGAAGCACAATTTTTAGCACTTCATTTTTTGTGATTATTCTTGTTGTGATTATCTTAGATTCCTGGTCTATTGTTTTAGGACATCTAAGGCTGATTGTTCTAATCCTTTGGATAAATGGTTGATATAATTTTAGAAAGTTATTTCCTATTATTATATCTAGTCCTGAGTCATGTTGATAGATTGTTTTAGCTGTGAAGATATGTTTTTCAATGATTATTGGTACATATTGTTTTACATACCAAATTTCATGGATAGATTTGTCTGCCACTATAATTTTTAAAGGTTTTTCAAGTTTATCCCATTTTTTTATGGTTGATTTTTTGGCAAAACATAAGGTTGCCCCTGTATCAATATATGCTAAGAAACTTTTCTTCTCTATTTCAATTTTAATAAATGTTGCGTTAGGATTGCCCTTAGTTAAAACCTTCTTCTGACTCATCTGAAGAGGTTTCTGAGGTTGAAATATATTCAATAATTTCTATATCGGATAGTTCAAAATCTGTTTCTTCGATTGGTTCAAAACCACAATCGTAAGCTAATCTAAGGACTTCTTGTTTTCTAGTGTTAGTATTTTTCTTAGGACATTTATTTGCGTAATGTCCTTCTTCGTTACATAACCAACATCTACAATTTGTTTTTCCTTTAGGACAGTATTCTTGTTGTCTTGATTTTTGTTTAAACTGTTTTCTATTTCTGAAATATTTATTCGGTTTTCTAAACCTATTTTTTCTATATTCTTTGTAAGGTATTTTTCTCCATTTTTTATAATTTCTATATTTTTTCTGAGTTTTAATGATCTTACGATCATTATTACATCCATACTTTCCAACTTTGTCCATTGTTTGTTCACAACAGAGTTTAATTTTAGCTTCTTTCTTTAGTTTTTCCTTATTGCAAGCTTGTTTATGCCATTCTTGTAAAACTAATATTCGTCCTCCTAATGTATTTGGTATCTCTTCTTTAGCCAAAGTTTCATTAAAGGTAGCTTCAACTTTTTCAGAGACATTAGGTGGTAATTTAGCATAGAGTAATTTATCCATCTCTTTTCTTATCGAAGGGGTGACTTGATAATAATGTGTTCTGAATTCACAAATAAATGGTTCTAAGAAGCACATGTTGCAAATTCTAAGATTAGTTAAATGCCAAATAGCTTGTTGACTTATGGTTGTGTTTGGTTTATCTTCTCGAGGATGTCGTCCTAAGAATTCATGAGTTATTGCATTTAAGACTTTTTCAAAGGTATTCGTCGCATCCGTTGTTCCATATAACGTTGTCTTAGTAGGAATATCCATGTTGTTAAGATAATGATAAACTGCCCCAGTTGTTTTATATATTAAGAAATTAAACATTTCATTAGGGTGTAATTTCTTTAGATCTTCATTTGTTTGTATTAGTAATCCTGTTCGATTTTTCCAGTCTTCTAATTCTTTTAATGGGTTGACGCAACAATCAAGATCTAATATATCAGGATTGTTAAAACTAGTGGTGGAATATTTTGGTATGTAAGATTGAGGTATTTTACTCCATCCTCCCCCTTTGCGAGGTGTATACGAATTTTTATATAAGTATTCATCAAAAAATAGTTGACCATCTTTATAATCATTAAAATCACGCTTTCGTGATGTTTCACCTTGATCCTCAGTTTCAGTTTTCGTGTAATTTGTATTTGTGTAATTTTTATAGGGGTTTTCGTCGCTACTATAGTCAAGAACTATTTTATCGTTTTCTATATTTTCTTCTATCTCTGGTTCTGATTCAATAGTAATTGCGGCTAGTAAATCGTTTAATTTATTAATTTGTTCGTCAATACTAGTCATAGAAGTTTGTAGGGTGCCATGATAGTTAATGGGATAGATTTTCCTGATTTATGCTCATTCAAATATTCTTTTATATCTTCAATTGTAATGCTTCTTTTATTATCTAATTTAATTATTATTTTTTGAAGTTTAATAATGATTTCCTTAAGATCTTCTACCGGTAATACTATTTCCTTAGAACTTGGAGTTGTTTTTCCCATTGCTATTTCTCTTTGTTTTATATCCACAATTATATTGGTAATTGTATCCTTAGCGTGTTCTAAATCTGAATATATATCTTTTTGTTTTTCATTACCTTGATATTCTAATATTGATTATTGTCTTCTAATATATTTATTAGATTTCCTTGATATTCATCTATCTTTTTTCCTAATTTTTCTAGTTTTATCGAAATATTTTCAGTAGCCATAATTTTGTCTATCAGGTGGATATTAGTTCAGCCATTTTGGATACGAGTTAGTATCTGCTAACAAAAGGGCTTGTTAGCATTTTAACTTTTGCGCACTTTCAGCTAGACAACTGACTGCGATCCCAGCATCAACTTCTCCCTCCGACCAGCCTTTGCCAACCTCTGATGTCCGCCGTGGTGACGCCGCTCAATTCCTTGACTGCACGTCAAAACCAAAACCCAGCCTCGGAATCAGGATCCGCCGATTCAGCTTCTATGCTTCCAAAACCTAGGTTCGACTGATTCCCCACTTTGTTCCCGTTATAGCGACCTTCTGCCGCTTGAATCCCCAAATCCGTCTGATTGATGTTCTGGCTTTGTAATACACCTCAGTTTCCAGTCTGCCTCTCCAATTCGAGCTATTCGTCGTCCTTGCCTTCCCATGGAATCGTTTCCCTCTTTTTCTGATAACCACCCATCATCACCATAACTCATCTTTCAATCCTCCCCCAAACTATTTCTCCCCTCTCTACCACCGCATCTCCGATTTCCCACCACCACTACTTCCATCAAGGCCCCGTCATCTTTGTCGTCGTCATCGACTCCAGCCACCAGCAGCCTACTTCCTCCTTCTCCAACGGCAAGATAGGGTTTCTAACTGCATCTTTCCTTCTGTAAACCCTGTTTAGAATTGGGGTTGGAACTTGGAATCGGCAGCAGAGTAAGTTTATAGTTTCTGCTTTCATTGTAACATTGGTTTTCTTTCTTTTGTTGCATGCTTCAATCTCCCCATTCTCATGACCACCTCGGTTTAGGGGTTCAATTGGGTTGTTGTGTTGCTTTGTTCTCAACCCAATCCTAATTGGGGCGAATCCACAATTTCTAAACCAAAATCTTCCGTCGTTTCTGTTTTAGAGGATTTCTCGGCTGCTACTAGGGATTCGTCAAGTTTGATTGCAACAGTGTTCTTTTTCAATTAGTGTGTGCTTCACTTTCCTCATTTTCATGAGCAGGTGATCAGCAACGGTAGACGCGAGCTGATGATGGAATTCGATAGACGCGAGGGAATTTTGAATTGTTTGATCACTGTCTATGGAATATATTACTACATATATGACTGTCATCTTACAGGTACTCTTCATTTCACATAATGACCGAATAATATTGTTTCCTAAAAGAATCCGTAATCCTTTTCGCATCTCTGTGCCTAAGGTGAAAGCTATTTCCTACACTTCATAATCTAACTCCAGGTCGCATTTTGTTTCCTGGATTGTGTCTTATGTTGGTAGCCTCTGTAGTGGTGACAGCCACATAATTCAGTTACCACATAAGCTAGCTTTCGTTCAGTTCCCTCAGAAATTTCACAATGTGAGCGAGAATGATATCTATGACCGCCAGCTGAGGAATTTATTCGTGGTAAGTGATGAAGTCCCTTGATGACTTTAAGTTTACATTTGGGTAAATAGAAAAGTTGAGGAAATGAGTTAGGTTGTGAATTCTGTTTTAGGTAAGATGGCCTGTAATGGATGGGAGTTCAGGGACCAATTTTGTCTGGCTCTGGATTCTATAATTTGATAATGTTTCAAAAACTTATGGTGATATAATTTGATAACATTAAACATGATTTTAGTTACTAGCCCCCGTTAGAAGAATAGAAAACAGTTGATGATGCTTTTTAATGAACAAGGGCTGAAATTATAGTAGCCATTGGTGTTTATATACTAATTATCTCCAGCGCAGTCTAAGCGCTTAAGTGGCATGTAGCTGTCTCAGGGCTCAAACTATGCCGAAGGTTTTCATTCGTATTTCTTTTCTTCTTATTATATTTTTAGCATGATATTTTTTATCAATTTTTGGGTAAACTTACCCGGCCAAGGGCCGGGCCCGGTGCTAGTATAAATGATGTTAATACTCAATCCTCTGGCGCAGAGCATCAAGCACAAACAGAGTGCAAAGCTCCAAACTTCTGGTGCATTAATACAATCGATCATACCCAACTTCTTTCAAATCTTTGAAGGAAAATAATAATGTATTATTTTGCCAGCTTTGCGACCCCCATATTTTAGTTTTATTTTAGCGGTGATATCGATTGTTATAAAAAAATCAAAGGGAATAAAACAAAAAACAGGGGAAGAGGGAAAAACAGTACACTCTCTCGGAACGTAGGAAGCAGGGAATGGGGTATCAACCGTCTTTTACTATCACACTACGACGGGCTGCTTTTAATAAGTTATTGGGCTGGACTAATACGACCAAAGAAAACACTGGATTCGGACTCGACGGGAAATCAGTTGGGAAAATCGGGCAAGGTGGGCCTAATCGTTGATGGCCGAAAGAGAATGTGGATGTGGATTGATGGTATTGGGGCGGTAAAGAAGGTCCCGTTACTTCGAACGATATGATGGATTAATGAGAAAAAAGCCGCTTTTTTTCTCCGTATTGGTGAATGTTATTTTATGTGCATTGCTATTCGTCGCCCTAAAATTCATTATTCGTCGCCCTAAGCTAAGTTAAATTTACTCTAATATCCTTAATTCGTTTATTTATTTTTCAAACACTTAGAACTCAAAACAAATTAATATACTACACCAACTAACAAAATACAATCAAATAAACAAAAAAAAACAAGAAAAAGAAATAATCCATAGTCGCCAAAATCCGGCCACTTCATCGGAGGCCCAGTCGTCATCATCATCACCATCGCCGAAATCCGGCCACTTCAACTCGTCCGGCGCCTACAAATAGAAATTAAAAAAATCCAGCGGAAGCCTCTGGCCAAGTGCTTCTTCCTGCTCGGCGCCAATAGAAGGAGCAGTCGTGGCCTTTTCTTCATTCTTCTTCCGCCTACTTGGGAGGATATATACAGTACATTAGAATTCCTAGCTACAGAGTGGGGATGAACACCTAAGGCCTTTAGGTAACATAATAGCAACCTCTCCAATTGAGGTTGTGTATGCGGAACAATAACAAATAAGAATTAAAAATAATTATTCTCTTACTTCTCTAATAGGCCGGAGATAAGAATCCGGCAACCGCAGCAGCGTTCATGGGACGGAGGAATGCTGGGCAGGGGCTACGGGGTTTTTTTGTTTAAGGCTTAGGTTTAAATTGGAATTAGGGGTAAGAGTGTCAATTTGGTACATTTTAGGGCGACAAAATTTAAATTTTAGGGCGACGAATAGCGATTCAGTATTTTATAGGCATTTTGATTTATTTAAGATCCAATGTAAAGTGTAATTTCCAGAAGTAATTGCATTGATGGGTATTGACGGGTCAACAGATGTGGTTAGACCGGGTGACTTCGGTTTAGAGTATTCTGCTTCCGGTATACCACGGGTATTCTGCTGGTGGTTACCCCAGCCCGGGTTCATTTGGCTTAGGAGTGAATTGACGATAACTTATCTCGTCAATGATGAAGATTCCTATGAGCACAATACTTGTAACTAAAAGACTTACACCTAAAAATATATAGGTCGTTTGCTTGTAGGATTTTTATCATGAATTTTGGATCAAAATTCCACATCCATGGGATTATGCACAAAGTCCATGTTTGGTGTTAAAGTGGTGTTGGATTATGGTGTGTGGGCCCGTGTATGTGGGATAATTTTGAGGTCAAAATCCATGGGTTCCACGGATTATAAAATCTCACCAATTTAGTTGGAATTTTGTGAGGCTAAAATCCATGATGGTAAATGACGGGTCTATCCTTATCTCTTTTCAATATTTCCTATGTTGAACATTAGAGACACAAATCATTAAGGATATAAATGTAAATTCACCCCATAATTGATAAATCCCATGGACACAAATCCAATATGAAATCCAACAAGCAAACATGCACTTTTTAAAATCCAACATAAATCCAAAGTAACAAAATCTCACACAATCCTTCATCCATAAAATCCAAGGTATTACCTAAATTCTTCATTTTCTAAAATCCTATAAGCAAACGACCTCTATAGTTGTCCCAAAAGTACTGCAGGAGAGCTGGTTCATTTGTAACAACATAAACTAGTCAATATTAAATTTCATTTGGTGACAATATAAACTCACGTGAAGTGTAGAATATTCCTTACAAGGAAAATTTGTCGCCATCGAGTAAGTTTTATGTGACGACAAAGCCCTTCAAGAATACAACATATACATATTGGTTATATTTGTCAATAAGTGTTGCATAAATCATTGAGGTGTTGCCTAAAATAGTGTTGCATATGTGGGGTACACATACTCAACACTCTTTTTCGTTGGCAACGGTAAAAAAAAGTGTTGCATATTATACTTAATGTAACACCACCTAATAGGTCACACTACGAAGCATACTGTTGCATATTACATTAAAAAAACACTTTCGACACTTTTTACAGCACATTTCACATGTTGGCAAATGTACATTTCCCCATAGTACTGGCACACCGCGAACAAGAATAGATCATCATAGACAGAAGCATCCAAAACAAATTAAGAAAGAAAATATTTATTCCATTGCATCATTGCATATGTGTAGTACACACAGTAGGTATATATTGAGAAATAACGAGACACTGATTAGCAAACATCATATTATTGTAAAGCATAACAATCGACATAAAGCAAGTTACGTAGAGGACCCGCGCCCAGATAAACACAATACATGAAAAACAAACATAGCAGCAAATAGTAAAGTCGTCATGATCCAAGTTCCCGTGGCCGTGGTGATAAGATCCCATGTTCGTGCATGTCTGCGATTCTGATAGAGAAAAGAGCTCATCGCATCTCTATCCATATAAACATAGTTTTCGCAAAGCAAATTATGCATGTATAATTGTAATAATTAAGCACGGTCGACATATTATTATATGCATACTTACATGCGTTGGAGGACACGGATCAGGCGCAACAGCTAGTGCAAGCAGTGGACCCTTTTTTGTAGCAACCACAACAGAGCCGACTGTTGCAGCTGCCGCCTGCATAAGGGCAGTAAGTACTATAATCTGGGTGCACCTGGCCGCCTTCACCTAATTCGCCGCCTGCTGCTGCATGTGTCGGTAATTTGTATGCCATTTCAGCGATTTAGATAAAAAGGATGTTCTTTATATGGAGTTAATAAAACAATTAATGTACCAGATTCGTGTAAAGAGAATGAATGAATTGTAACTGACCAATTTTTGCTCGGGCAGCCATTGCCTGTGGGAGGACCAATAACGCAACGAGAAGAAGGCCAGAAACGAGCACAGCTTTGGAGTTCATTCTTGCTGTCCTTTTGGCTTCTTTTTTTGGGCTTTGTGGGTCTGTGCAGAACTTAATTATTTCTTTCCTCCGTTGATGATGAATCAGACAATCAGTAATGTGTTTTATAGATGAGAGGGCGGTGATGATGATTTATATATAGAGCACGGGACGGCATCACCGGCACACAATGCATATATACAAAACTTTGAAGTTCTTTTTTGTTTTGTTTTGTTTTGCATTAATCTCAACGATGGTATAGCCCCGCATCTCCATTCTTCATTAATCTCAATAGTAATACGGTAGCGGGCCGAAAAGTCATTAGTAGAGTACTTCATATTGAAATCGTGATTTAATCGTGGTTTAACCGTTTCGTAATGCTAAAAACCGTCTATCAATTTAGACTTTAGTAGGAAGTTTTTCCGCTCGGACCGCTGGTATGGTCCAATTTTATGAACATGATTTAATCTGTATAGATAACAAAGACTTTACCATTAACACTTCACGGATTAAAATTTTCCTTTTCTTCCAAACTTCCACGTCAATAAGACAAACTATATTTGATGCTATTGATTGCAAAAATAATAAGATAAACTGCGTTGATTATATTATTATTATAATATTGAAAATACCATGTCATCAAGCGTATTTAATCTGATACTTCTGATTTTTTTCATCTTTTCACTTGATCGTTAAAATCGATATTGAACAAAAATTTAGATGAATTTAGAGTGGATTTTATGATATAAACATAAATTTTATGATTACAAATAAATTACATCGATCCAAATTACCAACTAAAAAATAGTATAATTATAATTCGAATTGTCAATAATGGTAAAATTAATCGGCCGATGGCCGGGGAAAAAAGTAGTTAATAATATAATCATGATTCCTGATTCCCTTATATATATAGAAACGAAATATGGTCAATCTTTCACGAAAAAGATATATGAAGTTTTATGGTAGACATGATTATGATTAGATTTCAACGTATTTGCTTATAAAACTAAATTTGGATAATGGATCAAAATAGCTATATTGATTTGTAACAAACTGGTTACAAAGATTTAAAAAGATACAAAAATCTCATACACATATCAATT